AAAGCAGGTGATTATTCCTCAGACCTCTCTGTTTAATTAAAGCTGGGGAACTCAAACAGGAAAACTGGAAATGTATACAATGGGGTATGCAGGCTACACAGTGCTGTAGAGACAAAGGGAGAAAGTGCTGTTTGCTGGTTCTCTCACTCATTCTTCCTGGTTGCAGTTCATGTTCTACAGAAACCCGTCTCAAATTTGGTGCAACAGATGTGGTCTTTTTGGTCTCGATTTTTAATAATAAATGTATATTTTGTTAGATTAAAAACCCCAAGCAAGTAGAGCTAAACTTTTTTTGAACTGCTCAGTTCTTGTAAAATTGGGGAAGTGACATTAACACTTACAGACACATCCTGGAGTACTGACTGTTTGGTCTGCCTGGTAACCTTCTTCCAGGCTGTTATAAGCCAACAGCCGTACATGGTACTTTCTTCTAGGATCTGCAGAGAGGAACATAGAAAAAGTCATAAAACTGCTGGTAAAGAATTAATATTTTCAAATATCTACAAAATGACTAGGAAATTGCTGAAGTCAGCTCAATCCTAATACCACTTTTGTTCAAAAGTTGTTTGCTGAAACCCGTAAGGGACTCACATTCTTGCTCCCAATAGCCTAAATCAGAGTTTTGTCACAAACCTTAATGAAGGCATAATCAATAATAAATTGCTTTTTAAAGCAATTTCTTACCTTTGCAGCTGTAATGCTGGATTAATTTAGCACTATTTAAATAAACACCCTGAAAAAAGACTTTGACTACACAGACTTTGACTATAAACAGCATAGCCTGGATTCCAAAGATACCAGGAATTGTTTCTGGAGAAGTTGGATAGATTGAGGGGCAAAAACAAAAGCAAAAAAGACAGGACTGGGTTCAACCAAGAAGTAGGCAGAATTGATGTGGTCCTGGCCCTCCAGAAGTTTTGCAGTGGAGAGAACAACGATTGTTGAGACTTCTTCTGACTTAGAACATTACCTTTTAGGCATTTTCTTAAAAGCTGATCTTGACCTGTTTCAGTAGTCACTGATTATTTGTTTCTAAGCAGACATATTTTCAGAAGTTTCATTTTCTCATAAACATGTCTTGACATTTTCAGTAAGTAAACAAAATTTTAAAAAGAGTACTCTTCTATGAGATATGTTGTTTCTCTGGTGAAGTGCAGAGGAGTCCCCTCTGCAGGCTTGAGAACAGCTGTAACAAACATGTTACTAACTCTACAGTTACAATTTTGCTGTTTTTTGATGAGCTCTCTTGTAGGGCCTCTGAAAGGGCTGGCCCCAGAGCAGTGAATAAGTGTGTGATGGCCCTATGCTTCAACATAGTGAGAAGAAATGTGCAACTATGCCTCACTAAAACTATTGATGCCCAGAGAGGTTTTAAAGGCAAAGGGAAGGAAGCTACACAGCTCCCACCAGAAGGCCTTGCTTTGGGAAATCTCCACCAAAGATTACAATTGGAAAAAAAGAGGGAAAAAAAATATTTTTTTTTAATCCTTCTGTTTTACCAAAACTTAGATCTAGTTTGCAATAATTGCAGATACCAAGTTTTCAGATCAAAATGTGATTTTCATGTTGGTGTGCCTCATAATATCTCTTCTTTGTTCTTGATGGAATTCTTCTAGCGCACTGGGAGAAATGTTTGGTTATTTCCTTTTTACTACCTACGTACATAGGATATTTTGCCTTCCACAAAAAATTTAAAAGTTAAAATGGAAGTCACAAAAGTGTGTTGCCTTCTCTTGGCCTTTTTCCTGTCCTAAAATGTTTGCAGCTTTGATTTCATTCTTTCCCAAATTAACCATCCTTCTTTTCTGCTTGATCTGGGATTTAATGTAATCTCTTGAATGCAATCAGGATGCACATACTTTAGTGATGGTTCCTGAAGGCAAACAGGACTTGAGCTTCAGTTGGATCATTAGCTTCCTCTGCTGTGTCTGCATTCCTAATACCTTGTTAACCAAATCTCCTTAACATTTAAAAAGCAAACCCCAAACTCCCCCAAACCCAGGAAGTTATCATAGATTCATAGATGTTAGGGTCGGAAGGGACCTCAATAGATCATTGAGTCCGACCCCCTGCATAGGCAGGAAAGAGGGCTGGGTCTAGATGACCCCAGCTAGATGCATATCCAACCTCTTCTTGAAGACCCCAGACCTCATCTTTCTGGGAGAGTTGCAATGTACATTTACAGAATGTTTTCATGCTTGTTTTGAATGGGACTGTGGCAGGGTAGCACCAAGGCACCCACGAACATTTTTTTTTGTCACCATCCTATTTCGGAACCATCTGCCCCGCACTCGTCTGCCATGCCTTGCTGTCTCCATGGATATTTAGACTGCAGGAGGCTATCCTCATCTAAGTGGTGCAAACTACCCTCATAGCCCTGGCCTTATGGGCCACTACATATGGCTTCTGCCTTCTCTACACCATGTTCTATGCCTCATAGATGTTACATTCGGTTCATCCAGCTCACACCCCACAACAGTCCATGCTTTGCTGTTACCTTCCAAATACTCTCTTGTCACATCACATTTGTCACGTTCGGTATACTCTACTGTCTTAGCTGAGTCTAGCCCTGTCACATCCGGGATACTCCACTGTCTTAGTTGGTTCTAGCCCATACCAGGCCCCCTTATCACAGGTTCTCTACTTCCCACTGGCCTGGCCCTGCTTACCTCAGGCCCTCTTCCCTTCATGGTGGCCTGGCTTAGTTTGCTCAGGCCTCTCTCTAGACCTGGCTCTGGTTAGCTCAGGCCTAAATCTACTGCCCCAGACCTGACTTTGGTGTGTCTAACTCAGGCCTCTTCACTTCTCCTCGGGGCCTCTGGACCCTCATGGCCCAAATGGTCTTGCTCTAGCCCCTCACTTTTCAGTCAGGATGTGCTCCCTTAGCCTTTCCCCTCCATGGGGTAACCAACAAGGCAGGGAGGGAAGAGGCTTTCCAGTGCTCCATACTTGCCTTTCACTGGGGAGGCTCGGTGTGGCATTTCCTGGACACTTCCCTGCCACACCACCCAACCCCAGTAGGGTGTATTTTTCAGTCTTACCCAGGACCCATCATCAGGCCACGCTGACCTCACTGTGCTTTCTCCTAGGTCTCCTCTGGGGATGTACCCTTCCCCCTTGCACTGGTGTTCTCAAGCTCTCAAGCCCCGACTCCAGCTCCCAGTCTTCCTGGCCCAAATCCTCTCTTGGACCCTCGTTCCTTAGCCCCACTCCTCGGGTGACTCTACAGGTCACGTCCATGCAGGCTCTGATGACCCTGACCTCCTACCTCTCGCCGCTTATCCAGGGACGTTTGCCTATCTCTAGCCAATCAAGGTGCCAGGCCCTCTGCAACACTGGCCACCCATCATGGTGGTTATTTTCTTCGACCCTTTACTGGGCCCTGCCCCCACTAAGCCAGTTGAGGTCTCTGACACCAGCACACATGGCTATCTGCCCTCTTCCACCCTGGGCTCTCCTCTCCGAGACTCTTCAAGTCACTCACTCCTTACTGGGCTTGGAACCCCACTATGATCTTGTTTTCTCTACCCCTCGGGTACACTCTGGCCGGGTGCTCCACCTCCTGTGCCCTGGCCCTAATTCTCAGGGCCCACTTGTCACCTTTGGTGGCCTGATGACCTAGCCTAGCTCCTAGCCCAGCTCTCCCAAGGCCATTGGGCTCAGCTTCTCCGCTAGGCTGGGGCACTCCTCCCCTGGGTCCCTAGGAACCTCTGCCTCCCCAATAGTTCCTACGCTGTCCTCCAATGATACCAATGACATTCCAGAGTCGTGCTCTTCTCCTGCATGAGTCCTGCTCTCCCAGCTCCTCTACTGTTGCCCCCATATTAGAGCACTCAGCCTGGGCTTATGCCCTGACTCAGCCAAGGCTCAGGCCAGCCAGCCGCCCTCTGGGCAGTCATGTGAGGCTTCCTGAATCACCCCAGCTGCCACTTTCTCTAGCTGCTGGGTCCTTAATGGGACCACCTGCTGAGGCTTCCATGCTCTGGCCAGCTCCCTTAAAGTGGCAGGCATGTCCAGTGCCCTGCCGCAGGAAAACTTCTGGGAAAGTATTGCTCCAAATGTATATTTTGTTTTTAAAACAATGTTTAATCAGATCTAATACAAGGGTTTTGGGGCTTTTAATATGTAAATGAAACAGTTGTTTTAAACATTTCCCTCTTGCATTTGACACTTAGCCTTTAAATCAGATCAGCACAAAAGAACAAGAAAAAGTGAAAGCATATAGCCTATTTTCATTGTTCAAGCAGAAAATAGTGCAACAATGAAACTGCAAAAACTAAATCATATTTTAAAATGTTACTAGTATTTAATGATCTAAGTGCTGTTATTAGCACAAAAAGTTGCTTCAATTTCTTTTTTAACCAAATAAACTGATGAAGTGAAATACTACTCCAGCAACATGTCCAGATATCACTTTTTCAGATCTCAAAAATAAATCGTAAATGAAGAAAACAGCTGAGCATTTGAAAAGCAGTAATGCTTTAAAAAAAATAGGACTAACAATGAAAGAGGGGTAAACCTAAGAAGTTCCCCAAATTTTGGGTGCATCAAATCCAATCTTCCAATCCAATCAAACTTCTCAGGGCTGCAAAATTAAGCACTGAATCTAAAAGACTTTGCATCTTTGGTTTTCCATGGTTCCTGCTGCTAACTAGGTCAGAAACACCAGCATATGTTATTTTAGCTCTTCTGCTTCAAGTTGAAGCTACGTACAAAAACTTTAGAAAGGTAAGCAGAACTTTAAAAAAAAAAAAAAAAAGGCCTTCAGAATGACTTTTTTGTCTTTTGAAGTGGCTTGTGTTAACTGATTTTTCCAACTGTTCTTAGAAAACTCCTGAATTCTTATATGGCTTGGCAGGGTTTTAAAAAGATTCCATATAAACAAGTGGCATCCAACTGACCAAGTGTCACAGTCTATTTTTCCTTTACAAGTTCCTCCAGAGGAGACCCCTGCTGCATTTCCGCAAATCACAGGATGACAGACACAACAATTTATCATCCTGCCCAGCACCTTCAAAAACGCCTTGTGCCCTTTGAAAGTGGTCACCCAGAACTGATCATCTTTACTGTGAAATGAAGAATAGCTAAGGTCTAATGCCCTGCTGAGCTGAATGAACCTGTGAGGTCTGTTTATACTCACTGTTTTGTTCTGTTTTGTTTTTTAAACCTGAATTCCTCATTAACACTTGATAAGGTGGGGAGGGAGGAAAATGTTTTACTCCTAAACACATTACTGGGTATTTTTCTGTGTGTCTTCAAGTAAAAGCTCATTTTTAAATCATATTTTTCAAAATAAAAGTGTCTGGATTAGGTCAGTACACCAAGTAAAAGCACAATATTCAATAGAGTCAATCTTACATATGTATAATGTGAAAAGCTGCAAAACAAAGAAAATTAATTTTCTATAGCACCACGTGCATCTGCTTCCTACTGACAT